TCTTGCGAAAGGGCGGGCCGAGGCCGGAAGAGCGCCGCTGACACGCAGATGTAGCATGGCCGCGGAACCGCATGGACGCTGTCTTGCGAAAGTGCGGGGCTGCGGCCACCTTATGGCCGAGGCGGCGTGGGATGGCGGCCGCGGAACCGCGTGGACGCTGTCTTGCGAAAGCGCGGGGCTGCGGCCACCTCATCATGGCCCAGGCGGTGAGGTGTGACAGGCTTGGCGGCGCTTCTGTCAAAATCCCGCCACTTCCGATGCCGTAACTTGCTATGCTAAACCTGACTTTCGATTGGGGGTCTGGAGGCCGTTCGAGCTTTAGATGGTGGCTTGGAGGGCTTTCGAGCAAAACCTTGCACTTGTCATTGTCGCTGCTGCTGCTGCTTAGGCTGCTTCGACTCGCACGACGAGAATTACCGGTCTTGTCCTCAGCAAGACGATCGCTCTGATGAGGGTTGCATCCGATGCGCTTTCAGTTTCGCTGCATGCAGTATTTTGGATGCTTTTTGTGTGTGCCGCGTAGCTCGGGCTCGATTGCTGTGGCGCTGGCCTTTGCGGTGATGCCGGGTGGACGCTGTCTTGCGAAAGCTCGGTGTGCCGCTGGGCTATGGCGGCCAGGTCCTTGCCCTCGAATGCCTACTTGCTCGAAGCAGATCTGCGAGCTACCGACGGGTGGAACAGCAGAAAGCCTTTGATCGGATGGCACACGGGCACAGCCAAGCTTGCCTTCCGGGTGCCTGGGAGCCCTGATACCATCGCCATCGAGGAAAGGATCGACCGTCTTGGTTGCGGGAGTCTCAGCGTGGCTTTCAGCTTGGAGAACTGGAGGTTGGCGGTGAAGATCGTGCCCTGTGCGGGCATGAACAAAAGTGGCTGGATGACGACAAACGATCCGCTGCGGGAGCTGAAGCAGTACGTGAAGGCGTTCCAAAATGCCGCAGTGCGTCCGTACTTGCTCCGGTATTACGGAGGCCTGTATCTGTGGGGCGACAGGGACTTCACTCTGGCATCCTCTGAGGTCGACGAGGAGTCGACGGTCGCAGCCGCCGTCATGGTCTGCGATCGCGCGGAGTTCTCTATGGCGACGGCACTGCTGCAGCTTTGGCAACAGCCCATGACGGACCAGTTGCGCGAGCAGCACCTGCGACTGTGGACATCCGCGCTAGCCATGATCGGTACATTCTTCGAGAACGGGTGGGTGCTCTGGGATGCGCAACCTGAAAACTACGTCGTGGACGAGGCAGGCTACGAGCGGATGCGGTTCTTGAGGGTCGCGACCATCCAGGAGAAAAGCTGTGATCCCAATCACGCTGAAGGCCAGCTGCTGTACAAGATCATGAAGCGCTTTTGCGGGGCAACAGTCGATTTGCTGACAAGGGGAGGCAGTCATCCAACGTGGCAGACATGGCTGCAGCCGCTTTTCGAGAACATGTGTCACCGGTACTTGGGCCAACATGCTGAAAATTTTTGGGGTCAACAACTGTATTGGTCGAGGACAGGCGTTTGCTGGACATTAAATCCCCTATACATCAGCCACAGAGAAAACCGGGATTCACATGGAATTTTCCAGCGAAATGCGACCGATTGGTATTTTCCTGCGAAGCCACATGCTTGAACATGCCTCCAAAAACCCGGCGGAGAACCCAGCGGAATCCATTGCAAAAACCCAGCGAAACCCATTAGAGAAACCCAGCGAAAAAACGGCAGCAAACCTGTGAAAACCTGTGAAGACCTGTGAAGACCTGTGAAGACCTGTGAAAACCTGTGAAAACCTGTGAAGACCTGTGACGACCTGTGAAGACCTGTGAAAACGTGTGAAAACCTGTGAAAACCTGTGAAAACCTGTGAAGACCTGTGAAGACCTGTGAAGACCTGTGACCTGTGAAGACCTGTGAACACCTGTGAAAACCTGTGAAGACCTGTGAAGACCTGTGAAGACCTGTGAAAACGTGTGAAAACGTGTGAAAACCTGTCAAAACCTGTGAATGGTACTTTTTGTGAAAACCCGGCGAAGAGCGATTGAAAACCCAGCGAAGAGCATTGTCAAAACCCAGCGAAAGCCACATTGAAAACCCAGCGAGGAACCCATAGGCCTGGATGGCATGAAGTATGGGAATCGATGGAAACTTTCCAGCGCAACGGATATTTTCCAGCGGGGCAGATTCACATGGTATTACCCAGCGAAAGAGCTATGTTTTTCCAGCGGGCGATGGTTAGGGTCCTTAATAAGCCGGAAGTCTGAACCCTGAACCATACGTGGCGTGTGGGTGTGTCCGTGTGTTACACTCGCAATAATTTGCAGGATCGACGAAGCGTGCATGCGTGCACTTGCAGAGCACATGTTCAGGCTTCTCGGCAGAAAGAGTTGGCTGCCGCGCAGATGTAGGATGCCCTTTTCTACTGCACGGACGCTGTCTTGCAAAAGTGCGGGCTGAGGTAGCGCCGCTGACACGCAGATGTAGCATGGCCGCGGAACCGCGTGGACGCTGTCTTGCGAAAGCGCGGGGCTGCGGTCACCTCATCATGGCCCAGGCGGTGAGTTGTGACAGGCTTGGCGGCGCTTCTGTCAAAATCCTGCCAGAGCCGGTTCGAGCTTTAGATGGTGAGTTGGAGGGCCGCCTTCGAGCAAAACCTTGCACTTGTCATTGCTGCTAGTGCTTAGGCTGCTTCGATTCGCAGCGCGAGAACTACCGGTCTTGTCCTCAGTAAGACGATCGCTTTGATGAGGGTTGCATTCGATGCGTTTTCAATTTCGCTGCATGCGGTCCTTTGCATGCTTTTTTTTTTGTGCGTGCCGCGTAGCTCGGGCTCGATTCCTGTGGTCGCGCTGGCCTTCGCGGTGACCCCCAGTGGACGCTGTCTTGCAAAAGCTGGGTGTGCCGCTGGGCTATGGCAGGCAGGTCCTTGCCTCCGGATGCTTATTTGGTCGAAGCGGATCTGCGAGCACGGGAATCGACCAGGAAAAACCCATTGCTCAGATGGCAGACAGGCACAGCCAAGCTTGTCTTCCGGGTGCCCGGGAGCTCTGCTACCATCGCCATCGAGGAAAGGATGGACCGTCTTGGTTGCGGGGCTTTCAAGGTGGCTTTCAGCTTGGAGAACTGGAGGTTGGCGGTGAAGATGGTGCCCAATGCCGGCATGAACAAACAAGGCTGGATGACGACAAACGATCCGCTGTGGGAGCTGAGGCAGTACTTGAGGGCGTCCCAAAATGAGGCAGTGCGTCCGTACATGCCCCGGTGCTACGGAGGCCTGCACCTGTGGGGCGACCTCGACGACGCTTTGGTAGGGACTGAGGTCGACGCTTTGGCAGGGACTGAGGTGGACGAGGGGCCGATGGTCGCCGCCGCCGTCCTGGTCTGCGATCGCGTTGAGATCTCTATGACGACGGCACTGTTGCAGCTGTGGCAACAGCCCATGACGGAGCAGTTGCGCGAGCAGCACCTGCGACTGTGGACATCCGCGCTCGCCATGATCGGCACATTCTTCGAGAACGGGTGGGTGCTCTGGGATGCGCAACCTGAAAACTACGGCGTGGACGAGGGAGACTACGATGGGATGCGGTTCTTGGACGCCGGGGCCATGGAGAGGAGAAGCCTTAGTCCCAATCACCTTGAAGGCCAGCTGCTGTACAAGATCATGAAGAATTTTTGCAGGGCAACAGTCCAGTTGCTGACAAGGGGAGGCAGTCATCCAACGTGGCAGACATGGCTGCAGCCGCTTTTCCAAACCATGTGTCAACAGTACTTCGGTCCAGAAGCTGCACCTGTTTGGGGTGATCAACTGTTTTGGTCGAGGACGGGTGCTTGCTGGACATTAAATCCTTAATAAGCCGGAAGTCTGAAGCCTAAACCATACGTGGCGTGTGGGTGTGTCACTGTGTGTTGCACTCGCACGTTGCAGGAGGATCGACGAAGCGTGCATGCGTGCACTTGCAGGGCACGTGTTCAGGCTTCTCGGCAGAAAGAGCTGGCTGCCGCGCAGATGTAGGATGCACTTTTCTGCTGCACGGACGCTGTCTTGCAAAAGTGCGGGCTGAGGTAGCGCCGCTGACACGCAGATGTAGCATGGCCGCGGAACCGTGTGGACGCTGTCTTGCGAAAGCGCGGGGCTGCGGCCAACTCATCATGGCCCAGGCGGCTAGTTGTGACGGGCTTGGCGGCGCTTCTGTCAAAATCCCGCCAGAGCCGGTTCGAGCTTTAGATGGTGACTTGGAGGGCCGCTTCGAGCAAAGCCTTGCACTTGTCATTGCTGCTGCTGCTGCTGCTGCTGCTTAGGCTGTTTCGACTCGCACCACGAGAACTACCGGTCTTGTCCTCAGCAAGACGATCGCTCTGATGAGAGTTGCATTCCATGCGCTTTCAATTTGACTGCATGCATTCCTTTGTATGCTTTTTCGATTTGTGCGTGCCGCGTAGCTCGGGCTCGATTCCTGTGGTCGCGCTGGCCTTCGCGGTGACCCCCAGTGGACGCTGTCTTGCAAAAGCTGGGTGTGCCGCTGGGCTGCTGCGTAGCTCGGGCTCGATTTCTGTGGTGGCGCTAGTCTTCGCGGTGCCGCCGGGTTGACGCTGTCTTGCGAAAGCTCGGTGTGCCGCTGGGCTATGGCGGCCCGCTCCTTGCCCTCGAATGCCAATTTGTTCGCTGCAGAGCTGCAAGCAGACATGGACGGGTACAACAAGAAAAACCCAATGATCAGATGGCGGAAAGGCAGAGCCAAGCTCGAGTTCCGCGTGCCCGGCGGCGGTGCCATCTTCATCGAGGACACGCTCTACCGTTTGGGTACCGGAGCTTACAAGGTGGTCTACGGCTTGGAGACCTGGAAGTTGGCGGTGAAGATCGTGCCCAATGCGGGCATGAACAAAAATGACTGGATGGGGAAAAACGATCCGCTGCAAGAGCTGAAAATGTACAGGAGTGCGTACGAGAGGAGTGGCAAAGTACGACCGTGCATGCCCCGTTACTACGGAGGCGTGCACCTGTGGGGCGACCGTGACTGGCGTATGGCAGGGAGTGAAGACGATCCCAGGGCCAGGGACTCGAAGGTCGCAGGCGCCATCATGGTCTGCGATCGCGTTGGGCTTTCTATGGAGACGGCACTGTTGCAGCTTTGGCAGCTGCCCATGACGGAGCGGTTGCTTGAGGAGCACCTGAAACTGTGGACATCCGCGCTCGTCATGTTCGGCACATTCTTCGAGAACGGGTGGACCCTCTGGGATGCCAAACCTGACAACTACGGCATGGACGAGGGAAACTACGAGCGGTTGCAGTTCTTGGACGTCGCGGCCCTAGAGAACAGAAGTGAACAAACGACCCGCGAAGATGGCCAGCTGCTGTACAAGATCATGCAGCGCTTTTGCAAGGCAACAGTCGACCTGCTGGGAAAGGGAGGCACCCATGAAACGTGGCGGCAATGGCTGGTGCCGCTTTTCGAGAACATGTGTCGCCTGTACTTGGGCCAACATGCTGAAAATTTTTGGGGTCAACAACTGTATTGGGCGAGGACAGGTTCTCTCTGGACATGAAACTCATAAATGTGTCTGCGTGTGTGTGTGTGTCACTGTGTGTTGCACTCGCAGTTTGCAGGATCGACGAAAAGATAATGCGTGCATTTGCAGAGCACATGTTCAGGCTTCTCGGCAGAAAGAGCTGGCTGCTCGTGCTCGTTGCTTTGCGGTTGATCGTATGTCCTGATCGCGAGGATTTCGACGTCTCCCGCATCTTCGTTTGCCGACAGGTGTTCTGGGGATTGTGGCTGGAAACAGGAGCTAGTGCACAAGACCTCACGGCCAGGAGCCAGCCGACGGGGGAGTCCGAGCCTGCGAAGAAGTCCGGGCCTCAAGTCACGACGGTGGCGGTCGGCGGCTCTCTTGTTGGATTCCGAGCTTAGGCCAAGCAAAAGAAATCTGACGGCCAGGAACGAGCCGTGCAAGGAGTCGGAGCCTGCCAAGAAGTCCGGACCTCAAGTCGAGACGATGGCGGCCAGTCCTTGGTTCCTGCCAGCAACCCAGCAGAGGACCCTGCACGGATCCTCGTGCTTGCTTTTCATGTGTGTGCAACGAAAGAAATCCGACGGCCAGGAACGAGCCGTCGAAGGAGTCGGAGCCTGCCGAGAAGTCCGGACCTCAGGTCACGACGATGGCGGCCGGTGGTTGGCTCCCGCCAGCAACTGTGCAGACGACCCTGCATGCATCCTCGTGCTTGCTTTTCACGTGTGTGCAACGGCGTTCCCGCCCGCGACCCAAGGTGCGTGAAGGCCAGGAACGAGCCGTGGAAAGAGTCGCCGCGGGAAGAGTCGGAGCCTGCCAAGAAGTCCGGACCTCAGGCCACGACGATGGCGGCCAGTGGTTGGCTCCTGCCAGCAACTGTGCAGAGGACCCTGCATGCGTCCTCGTGCTTGCTTTTCACGGGCGTGCAACGGGGCTCCTGCCCGCGACCCAAGGTGCGTGAAGGCCAGGAAGGAGACGTGGAAAGAGTCGCCGCGGGAAGAGTCGGAGCCTGCCGAGAAGTCCGGTTCTCGAGTCACGAGGCGGGCCTCGGGTCGTGGCACTGGCGCTGTCTCGTCGACGGCTAACATATCCGACGGTCAGGAATGAACCGCCTACTGAAGAGTCGGAGTGTGCCAAGATGTCCGGACCTCGGCAACTCAAAGGTGCGGTGTCTTGCTGGCCGCTGAGCTCAGGCAACGCATGGATGCATCGCGAGAATTAAGCTCATGGGGACCCACCGTGTGCGTGGGGTTGCTTGGTCGCAGTGCACTGGTGATGTTCCAGATGCTGCCCAAGGAAGAAGGCGATACTGCGATAGAGCTCTTGTGCACCGTGAAGGAGAAGGACGTCGAGGTGATTGAATCGGTTCAACACGTGCAAGCGCACGTTTTGGCGGCGACACCACGGGATGTCTCTCACATGCTTAAGGAGGGCGAGCGCAAGCACGGGCTTCTTCGGGTTGAGCTTGTCTGCAGTACCGCATGGACGCCCACCGACAAATATGCGGAGCGTCACAGAGTGCGTCGGTGCATGCATGTCAACGCTTCCCTCGCGCGGGTCTACTGGGATCAAATGAATCGGGACAGCTGGCCCAAGTCTTTGCAGGACTGGCACGAGATTGTGGTTGGCAAGACTCAAAAGCGTGCAGAGGCACCTAAGTTGACGTTGGAAACCCTGGAGAAGGCGATGAAGGACGTGACCGTCGTCGCTGACCAGAGGGGCTTTTACAACAAGCCTATCCATGATCTAGACACACATGGACGGGTCAATCGAAAGACGACTAAACTGGACGAAAACCCCCTCACGCGAGAAGAGCGCGAAGCCGAAGGGATCACTTATGGCGACCAGCAACCGAACAAGAGGATGCGAGACATTCCCAGCTACCGGCACAAGCCATTGACGGTCGCTTTGCTAAGTATGAAAGTGTTCGAAGCTGTACATTACTTTGTTCGTTTTGTTTTCCTCGCTCGTGTGTCTTCTGCATTGGTTTGATCCGCGGAAGGCATTGCTGCGGAACCTGCACCAACTTCTGCCGCTGGAGCGCTGCAACGAAACAGGGCAGCGACCGGCCGGATGCAGGGAGCGGCATGCTCCAACGAAGCCGCGAAAGCAATCCAGCAAAACCGATGGAGGCATGTTCAAGTTTGCCCAGCATGGCATGGTTCTCCAGCTGGAGGACTTCATCGAGGAGAAGTGCTTTGTACAGCCGACAGCTGCTGCAGAGGAGCAGGACTTTGGCTTTGTGCCGGCCGAGCTGCACAATGTGGCCAGGGGCCTTGTTGCTTTCCTGAGGGTCAGAGCGTGCTCTTACGATAACATCTCGCCTCAGAAGAAGACGGAGCATTGGAGCCATTGCTTGGAGTGGTGGGGTTTTTGGATGTCGGACGAGGAAATCCAAGCCGTGGCTGCACAAGCGACGTCCCTTGCATTTACGCACATGCGCTATCTGAGTGCCTACGTGCGTTTGCATCGAGCAACGTTTGCGCAGGAAAGTGTTGCCGCTGCCTCGCAGATGTAGGCTGGCCGCGGAACCGCATGGACGCTGTCTTGCGAAAGTGCGGGGCTTCGGCCACCACGTGGCTTAGACAGCGGCTTGGACGAGGCAGTACTTGGATGTGGCGGCCGTGGAGGAACGCTCGCTGAGCTTCGCGTAGGATGGCCGCGGCATCGCATGGACGCTGTCTTGCGAAAGTGCGGGGCTGGGGCCATTCATTCCCGAGGCGCTGATCTTTTGCGGTGGTGCTTGCGCTTGTGCCAAAACAAAATGATTTCTTTCACTTCAAATGCCACAACGCACTTGCCGAACTTTGCTCTCATCGGGGTCCGGGTCCAGATTCAGATCGTGGTTTGCAGGGCTTGGCATGGCTGCTGTTGCTGCTTAGGCTGTCTCGACTCGCACCGCGAGGTCTATCGGTCTTGTCCTCAGCAAGAGAATCGCTCTGAAGGGGGGGTGGCATTGAAGTCGGTTGGCTTGCCGATGTTCTCCGCTCCGAGGTTGCTTCCAATTCTGCTGTTTTCGTTACCTAGCCTGGGCTCGATTTGCATTTCCCTTTTGCTGGTCTCCGCGGCATCGCCGAGTGGACGCTGTCTTGCGAAAGCTCGGGGTGCTGCTGGGCCGTGGAACTCCCAGCGATGGAGGCTGCCGAGACGACTTCTCTGGGTGGCGGAGATCGGGCATTGCTGCTTCCTTGCGAAGGAGGCCGGCCATTGCAAAACGTCGAGCTGCTGCAGAGAACCTTGTCTGCTCTGCTGCAACAGTCTCTTGTCCAGTCAAACGAAGAGCTTACCGATCTCGTTTACAGGGCTTGCTTCTTTCACAACAAGCTCAAGGGCAGCCTGGCATCGAATCATGAAAGCAATCCTATCACGGCCTCTCAGGAGCCGGGAGGAGTTTATGAGCGCAACTTTCTGGGGGAAGTTCGAGAAGTGTTGAACTGTCTCGTCGAGCATCACGAGCGACTGAGCTTGGATGTGCTGTTCGCCGAGATATGTCGCGCGGACAAGCTTTTGCGAGAAGCCAGAGCTTTTTTGCGCCGCTGGAAGCACGTGCCCTCGATAACGCCGGTGATGGAAGAAAGCGCGGCATGCGTCGCCCATGCGCTGGCTGCAATGGACGATGCTCATTTAGCTCTTTGCGAAGATTCCCTCTGCAATTTTACTCAGAGCATCCACGCCGGACGGCTCGCCGTCCATCGAGGCTGTGGTTATTTGGACTTACTGCTGCGCTGGATACAAGAGGGCGAGCACTGCAGCGGCGATCGACGGAAAAGTTGCAAGCGGCGTCGTGCCTCGAGTTCTGGGCACAACAGCACAGACACGGCGTTGGTTGCACAATACGAGAAGTCGGTGGCCGAGTCGGGCTCGAGACTGCCGCTGCCGCCTTTGCCTCCATGTCTTCCCGAGCCATCGGAGGTGTCCAACCCGCGGCAGCCTAGTCTGCCCGAGGAAGCTTGTCAGGCGGGGCAGGCACAGCTCTTCGAAGAGACGGTTCCACTGCAAGCGAAGAGAAACGCGACTGAGACAGAGCACACGCCAAATGCCGTGCTGCGTGCTCAACAACTCTTGGAAGGGCTCCTGCCTTTTTTGGAACAGCAAGTGGCGGCCGTCGTCGCGGAGGCCCGTAGTCACCTCCTTCAGTGGACTTCCGGAGTCTCGCCAAACAGCGTTATTTCAGTGGACGACACGTGACGATCTATCGAGCTTGAGCCCTCGGATCCAGATACTGTGCCATCCGCATGGAGATGCCTGTCTGAACGAGACATGGCCGCAGCACCGCATGGACGCCGTCTTGCCAAAGTGCGAGGCTGCGGCTACTTCGCTGTCTTGGATCGACCGCAGTTTCGGATGTGCGGCTCAGGACTGTCACGTCGATTTTCAAGGGAGGCCGTTGTGCGACGCAAAATCGCTGTGAACCACTTCTCGCGGTTTCCTCGTCGTGATTCACCTGTGTTGGAAAGGCTTTCCTGGGCACGACGAGCCCTGGGCCAGTGCTCGATTCGTCGAGGCAGGGACGGCCGATGCGGGAGGTGGTGCTGGCAGTTTCGGAATCTTCTTACCCCCATCCCGAAGCCGCCCCTGTGGGTTTCTTTGCAGCTGGCGTTTGGGAAGGGACGTAAGGACTTCAGTTTGTGTCCTTGCTTCAGGTTTCGTTCTGGAAGGAGGCAGAACTCGCAAGATGCGAGATTGAAAGCAAGCGGTACTGCTAGTCCCGAAGCTCTTGTAGGACCAGTAAGCCACGGAATAATTGCAACGTGCAGATGTCTGCTTAGTTTCCTTACCTCTGCCCCCGATATGCGACTTGCTTCCACGACTCATTGTAATAGAGTGCATCCTAATACATTGCGTTGTACGTATCGGCCGATTTGGGCCCGGTGGTGGCGATAACACTACCTGTGCAAAGAAGGCGAGCTTGCATTGAGCACGTGCGTTGCGATCTGTTGTCACGACTTTTGACGAATTATGCTGCTTTGAACGTCTGCTTGAAAATTGTTCAAGAACTACTAAGAGACGGGCATGTACCAGGAGCGCTGCCACGGATTGTGCACATGCGTCACCATCTCCAGCCGAGGGACCGAGATTGTAATGATTGGAGTGACAGTTCATGAATTTTCGCGCGCATTCCTTGGAGCATTGTGCTCATGTAATTGTTCGATTGCGGCTGTTCGATGTCGACTGATCTTACATTTATTCTTGCACGCACGTATTGCGAGGCGCGTTGCGTGTCATCAGGAACATTGGTATGAGTTCTGACAAACTGCCTTTGGACCGACGCGTTATTGAACAAGGACATTGCGTCATGAGACTTCACGGACCTACTCCATTGACTGCGATTTCATTTGCTGATCGTTACTGTATGGATTGCACTTTTGATTCGGGTTTTACCTGCTCTGACATTGCAAGATCGCGGTGTTAGATACTCGGGGTTTTGGTCGTCTCATGCTGGCTTTCAGGGTCCGACGTCCTTTCTCCTCTTCGGCAAACGCTTCTTGGTGGAATCACTTTCGAGGCTTGCAGTCTTCGGCGAGGCTTCGTTGTATTCGCGGTGTTCATTTCGGGCAGACACAGTTCCTGCGGAAGCTTTGGTTTTTTCGTCTTGGGCAAGTGATCCAGGGCCTCGACTTTCAGTCTGCAGACCCCGTTGTTTGCATCGTATGCAGCTAGCAAGCGCATTGCATTTGGCTGAGCTGCTCCCGGCACACTCACAGGTGTTTGTCTGGTATGCCATCTGCGTTTCCCAGCAGGTCGGGGCAGTTGCTTGGAAGGTATGAACTTTGGCTTCGTTGTGCGTGCAGGGCATATTAAAGGCTTCAAGTAGGGTTCCAGGAGGGCTTCATCCGGGCCTTCGGCTCTTGCCGATTCGAGGTTGCGCTTCTTCGTTTCGCACTCATTGCCTAGATTCTGCCTGATCATTTTGGGTGGGTCGTTTCTGTCGGGATTGGGAATCCGGTCCTGGCAGGCATTCAGTGTTCGCCTTTGGTTTGGCTTCTTCGAGGAACTTGGAATGGATATTTGACTCCGCCCGATAGCTGTTGCTATGAACGTTCGGAGCGGGCTTTGAGTGTGGTCCTGTCGGTTATTCTTATGCACTGTTCGCGAAGAGATCCAGTTGGTGTTTCTGCGCTTCGGACGCATTGCATTGATTCTGCTTGATCATTTTGGGCGGGCGGTCTCTGTCGGGATTCGGGATCTGCTCCTGGCAGGCATTCAGCGTTCGCTTTTGGATTGGAGATTTAACGACACCTGCTACGTAGGCGTTGCGTGTTCGGAGTGCGCTTCGAGTGGAACACAGAAGTCGTTCGGCGCGACCCGGTAGGGTACTCCCCGAACCTTACACTTGTATTCACGGCTAGCGCTGCGCCACTTTGAGTATAGTGTGTTTGCTGCAGTTCTTGTGATCTTCTAGGCTTCGGTTCGGTGTACAATAGAGAACGTGAACCACGGGCTCGTCCTCGAAAGTGGCAAGCAGCTTGTGGACATTGGCAATCAGTGGAGCGGCCGTGACAAGAGCTCGGATCACGGAAGTATCCAGCCAGAGTCAAGGTTCGTCCAGGACCAGGCACACGGCAACGTAAGAGGTCGGTTGCCAATTGTTGTTTGCTGGCGGCTGGTCTTTGGGATGATAGCTGCGTTCGGGCAGTCAAAGCCGCCGTGGTGCTTGCCGTGAAGGAAGCGGTCGATGTGCCGACCAGTTCCAGGAACCTCCAGCAAAGTCACTATGTGAGCAGCTTGGCCGCATGCGGTCACTGGTCACACGGTCTCATGTGAGGCTGTGAACTGGGATGAAGACGAGGAAATTTCGACAAGAAGAGATTGCTTGTCGCGAGTCAATGTCCAGGTCGGCTCATCGAGCCCGTGATGGTGCAGATAATTAATCGGCGGCATCTGGCGTAGCTAGAAGGGTCGGTGTTGCGTTTCTGCTTTTGTTGGGTGTGCTTCTTTGTCGGATGAGTCCTGCCCGATGCCTGTATCGGGGTTTAGACGCGGCGAGCAGCGGCGCGGCTCCGCGAGGCGGGCCGTTTGGTTGTGAAATTAGGGGATAGGATATCTCCCGAACTTCTGAATAAGACCCTACATGGATCGCGGAATCCACTTCGGAATGTTGCCAGATGCCGCCTTAGGGCTGATTGGACTAATGCCCTGTGATCCTTGTTATATCATTCCATCTGTGTCTTCTGCTTTAGTTATCCTTCCATGTCAACTGCCCCCCCTAAACCTCTCGCAGATCTTGTGAGCTGCGAGAAGACGATTGTCGGGAATGAGGCTGGACGAAGACAGATCGGGTTTGGGCAGGGGCAGGCACGTAGTCATCCCCTTCAAGGGATTTCTCGGGTCTCGCCGGGGGAGGGGGGGGGGGGGCTGCATTTAAGCCGTTTTCAATTTCGCTCGCTGTGTTGTTTCTCAGCTGGGCTCGATTTACGTTGTGTTTGTTTGCCGCCGTGACGCCGCTGAGTGGACGTTGTCTTGCGAAAGCTGGGCGCGTCAGGCGAGACTGTAAGATATTCCGAAGCATGGACTCAA